GGGACGTGACACGTGGGGTTGGGGAGGATGGGGGTCACGAGGGACACGGAGGGGGGACACACGCGGGTCACAGGGACACACAGGATGGGGGACGTGGAACCAAGGACACGGGAGCACGCAGGTCATGGGGACACAAAAAATGGGGGTTGTGCAGGACACAGAATACAAGGGCGGGGAAGATGGGGGCACGGGGGGCACAGGTCACATGGGAGACACAAAGAGGGTCAGTCATGGGGTACAGGAAGCATGTGGGATGCAAAGGACACGAGGGAGACGCAGAGGTCACAAAGGCTGGGGAGCGTGGGGGATATGTGGGACACAAAGGACAGTGTACTTGAAAGACACAAGAGGTGAACCCAGACACAAAGGACAGGGGATGCCGAAGACATGGGGACAGGAAGGAGGGGGTGACATCCGTGGGGAGGGGATATGAAGGAGCTCAGGATGTGTGGCAGCGAGGACAAGCTGTTGGGGGAGAACGTGGGGAACGCACTTCCCTGGGTAGTTGCCAAGGGTGGTGAAAAAAGCCTCTTTTCAGCTTAAAGATGTTTTTTAGAATTTAATGACAGAAAAGCAATACCTGTAGAGGTGCCACGAGCATGGGTGTTCACCCCCCTTCCAAATCATGACCCGACCCACAGTTCCCTTGGTTGCAGGGAAGCAAGTAATGCTCATTAAAAAATAAAACCACAGAGTAAGTGGCCACCCCAAAAGGGGACTTTTCCAGAAGGTTCCTCATCTGTGGCACCTGGGCATCTTGTGCAGGGGTATAACTATTGCCTGGTGGGCTTACAGTGGGGTTTGCTGGGAATAGGACTGGGAAAACTGTATGGCACTAGGCAACCTCCCTGCCTTGAGCAGCTCACTTGAGCTGGATGGTCTTCAGAGAAAGCACAGGGTGGGGGACCGAGGAAGCGCTGTCTCACACTTTTCTTGTCTCCCTGCTGTGCTGCAGCTCCTGATCGCTCGCCGGAGAAGAACCAGCTGCTACTTCTACCCCCGCGCCTGGCCCAGTGTCAGGAGCACAGACTGGTGGGAGCGTGTGGTACTGAAGGAGTTTGGGCCCCAGGACTGGCTGGAGAAGTTTCGGATGTCCAAGGAGACCTTCTTCTATGTCTGCAACCAGCTGCGGCCCGGGCTGGCTCCGCACAGCGCCCACTTCCACCCCACCCTGCCCCTGGAGAAAAGGGTGGCTGTGGCCCTGTGGCACTTGGCCACCAACGTGGAGTATCAGACTCTCAGCCCGCTCTTTGGTGTGGGGCCCTCCACAGTGCAGACGTGTGTCCGGGAAGTTAGCTATACCATTGTCTTGCTGCTGAAGCCCCTCTACCTCCGACTGCCCCATGAAAAGGAGCTGGAGAACATGGTGCGCATCTTCCGCACCCGCTGGGGCTTCCCACACTGCATTGGCGCCCTGGACAGCCTTCACATCCCCATCCACCCGCCCCTGCGCCTCAGCGCTGACTACTGCAACGGCCAGGGCTGGCACTCCATCCTTACGCAGGCCACCGTGGACGGGCTGGGCCAGTTCTGGGATGTCTCCACCGCCTTCCCCGGCAGCATGGAGAACAGCGCAGTCCTGGAGAGCTCCAGCCTGTGGGTGCTGGCCAAGGAGGGACGGTTGTGCCCCAACCCTCCCAAGCATTTCATGGGGAAGGCGCAGAAGTACGTGTTGCTGGGCGATGCCACCTATCCCTTGCAAGACTGGATCCTCAAGCCCTACCAGGAAGACGAGAACCTCACCCAGCGGCAGCTGCAGTTCAACTACCGCCTGAAGCGGGCACACAGCGTCATCGAGAACGCCTTCCTGCGCCTGAAGGCACGCTGGCAGATCCTCCTGAAGTGCGATGACTGCAGCCTAGAGCTGCTGCCCACCCTCGTCCTTGCCTGCTGCATCCTGCACAACATCTGCGAAGCTCATGACAACCCCTTCAACAAGGAGTGGCTGGAGGGCACTGAGCCAGCTGAGCTGCCCAAGCCCTGCCAGCCTGCGCCTGCTGCCATGGAGGACGGCCGGGCCGAGCAAGTGCGTGAGCTGATGTGCCAGTACTTTGAGAGCTGTGGGGAGGGCTGACGTGGCCAGGGGGAGAAGAAGCCCTGCGCATCCTTGCTCACAGACTTCCCATGGACTCTGGCAAACACTGGTCCAGCGGTACTGGGCTGTTCGGCAAAGGACTGCAACTGCACCCCCTCCCCTTTCCTGAAGGCTGCTAGCAGAGCCAGGAATGCTGCTGGCTGCACCGGCTGTTCCCAGGGCAGGGAGGGGGGTGGCTGCATCATGCTTGTGCTGGTATTGCCACAGTGGTTTCAGGTAGTGGAATGTATTTTGTGCCCTTGCTCTCTTCCAGGATTTGAGCGGTCTGCTGGCGTGTTGTGTGCTGCGCGAGTGAAGTGGGGATTGGGGCTGGGCAAGGGAGAGGGCTGCCTGTGTCTCGCTTTCCTGGGAGCATGTCTCTGTCCCCAGGCCCCTCTGTCAGGCTGAAACCAGCAGGAAGCTTGAAATAAGAAGGCAAAACCCCCTTGAAAAGTACAAAACTTGCTACATAAACATGCTTGGGAAGGGAAAGAAGAGGCAGAACAGTGACTTGCCTGGGGCTGGCACCAGCCAGAACTGAAATTGTGTCTGTCAACTTCTGCGCAGAACGTGCTGCCCTCAGGGGGAATGGGCTCAGCCGCCTGGCCTCCCTTGAGTTGTCTCCAGAGGGGTTTGCCATGAGGGTCTATGGATTGGCCCCCAAGGTCCCTCCCTGTCCCATCAACCTGCTCTTTCTGCTGGTGCCTGTGATCTCTATTCCCAGCCTGGCTGCAGCATGAGCAGCAAGATGCAGCTCT